CAAATGTCTCCAAAGGAAGGGAGGAGTGTCCCAACACATTCTTATTGAGATGTGAAGGTTTTCCATAGGCTAAATTCTGTAGTATTGAGACAATGGCTATGGATTTTAGACGCATACAAAATGACAAATCGAAAACAAACCATATTGAAAGTTCTGTTTCTTCTCAAGTATAAAAAAGGTTTGTCTCTATCAAACTCAATCGAACAAAGCCCTAGCTCAAAAACAACAAGCGGACTGAATCCTGAGTCACTTCACTAACAAAGTATTACTTTCTATTAGTACAGTGTGCAGTGATGTCACATCCTGCTGGCTTGTGCCTCCTACTGTAAACTGTCCACTGCCATCATCATCTCTAGGATGACCGGAGAGCGCAGTTCGACAAGGAGCTCTGTATGAGACCGCGAAGCCAGACACTCAAAGACATTGGCAGACTTTGCTTAGCTCAGCCCAAATGTACAACACGCACCCCTCAAACGCGGGCTTGTTTAGCTGCTGGCACCCGAAGGCATCAGTCAGATGTATGCCAGCTGAGCTAAAATGTGCCCGCAGAGTACACACTGCAGCATCACTACCAGCACTCGTGCCCTCACCTTGTCTACCTTGGCACTTTTTGAGTTTGATGGAAAAAATGTCCCATTGCAAACGACAAGTCAAGTGCCAGACAGCATATTTATACATCTTAATTAGCAATAATGAAGCCCAGTACCTGCCAATGATCTGATGCCAGTTGTTACTGTGTCCTGTTGACTAGAGTGTGTGTCTGTTGTTTGTCTTCTACTTACATGAGAACTGTGCAAATAAATAAGGGGAAAGGATCCTAAAACTGTTGGATCCGATAACTAACATGTAGTGATGATGAATCTTTAAATGCAGGTAACTCTTAAGGATGAAAATGTTTAGTCTGAATGATCCTGTTACATCCCTTAATGATAACTAAGCTTCTTTCTAGAGAAATGTTTAAACTGCAGGCTGCAGCATGCCTCAGATTTACAGAAGATTATGAATGAGAAGGAGATGATTATTAGTTGCTCTCACAGCTTGTCATGTAACAGATCATTCATTTTTGAAATACCTGTCAGGACATGGTGAATGACTACAGCAGAATCTCATGATGTTTTGTTTCAAGTCTCCTTGATTTGAGGCTGTGTTTGGATGCAAGCATGTTTAGATCTGTCCTCTGCGATAAGTTTGAGGATCACAGCTAGACATTTTTTATGGAGGTAATGGAAACAAGTTGCATGGATTTTTTACCGTGAAATAGGCTGCAGCCATCCTCCTGACGTCTGGATTTATGGCCTGGTAATTCCCCTCTGGAGTAATTTGGCTGGTACATCTGCAGCTTAGCAGCATTCCAGCAGAGCTCTCCTGTGCTGTGAAGTCAGGAGATGACTGATTGATTGATTGTATTACTCTAGTTTTAACATGGCTTTACTGAGCTATTGCAGTTGAGTTCTAATGTGATCTATCCAGTGCAAACTACAACTGCGTTTGATGTGAGCTGGGTTATCCTGCTGTGATGATCACAAACTATATTTAAAAAGTGAACTTAGCAATATAATAATAATAATCCATAGCAATATCAAAACACACACTTATGTGGTATTATTTAAGATATGGGGTGAATTGTACCTCCTGCCATGCAGGAACAATTAGTTGGGAACATCCAGATTAATCCAAAAGCATTATAAATACAGTGTCAGGCAATCTTCTGCTTAATCAAGATGATCTGTAATTATTCACTCAATATGATCATCAGTTAGAATCCTCACTGCTTTCAAACTAGTTATCCCTCTACAAGCTCTTTGTGGTGCCCATTACATGCTAAAAATGCAAACCCAGGGTCTGCTGACAGCTCATGTTTCCTAGCTTTTAGGTGATAAGTCCCAGGCACGTGCTGCTCAGACAGTGATAATGAGACCGGTCGCTCACCAGCTTGTTGAGGAAACACTGTGGACCTTCGAGTTGACCTGTTCCTCAAAACAGCCAGGCCTGCAGAGAGCACAAAACATCGACATCTAAAACAGGGTTTACCACAATTGGTGAAAACTGACTTGAGTAAAATTGAAATTACTAGATGAAAATGAACTATTCTTTAATGTTTTGTATATAAATTGTTATAATTAAAAGCGTAAGTTAACCTAATGAGTGTTATATTAACCACTGATAAAGTTTAACTGTTTGTTAGGTCCTACTTATTAACATAAAGTTATGCTGGGATATGACCCCAATCTAATAAAGGATAATGAGGCAATTCACATGTCACTGTTAGCTGTGTAGCCTACTATTATAAAAAAGGTTGACTCAACATTAATATCTGGGTATGCAATGCCATTTTGCCAACTGTTTCATTTTAATTAGTTTTAGTCAATCCACTTGTTAACATAATTGATTTAGGAAAATACAGTCTGGCTAGCGAGCTAGCACTAAACTAGCAACTACACAAATGTAGCTTGCTAACACAAAACTATCTACTGACATTTACATTAGCTCTGTTAACCAGTATTAAATTAAATGTACACTTCACAGTGTGTTTGAAGCCATATTCCTTGACAGCATAATTATATTATCTTTTAGCTTATTAATGGCTAGTTAACAACCATGCTAAAACAATAAAGCTAAGTTAGCCAACTAGCTATAAAAGATGGATGGTAGCTAGCTTGTTAGAAACGCTAACGTTACGCCAGACATTGCACGTACTTTACACCTCTCATTTTATAAACCATAACAACTTGTGTTTGTAACTATAACTCAATACAAACTCAATTGCCTGAAGGAGAGGCTACTGCAAACTGTTACACATTGTGCACATCAACAGGGCTGAGGTCTGAAACCTGAGCCCTCAGGTTTGTCACTTTACCTTCATGAATCCTGTGTCCTCCACCTTTACATCCTCTTTCTTCACTGTCACATTAGTAGCAACATTTTTTGTCTCGTGATAAGTTTAAATTTGAGAAAATATAAATCAAAACCAAAATAAAAAGTTGTGTTTATTCAACAGAAAAAATAATTTGTGCTATTTATGTTTGCTTTCTGCAAACATAAATAGTCTTACTGTACAAATACCACCAGCACCTCACTATTGACTTTGTTAATGACTCACTGCTTGCAAACTGATATTGCATTATTTATACATTTCATTAAAGCACTGACAGTGAATGTAATTACATTAAAATGTTTAATTTGTAATTCGAGTAACAACAATTTTGGAACACATAATAAAAATCATATTTTTTCATGAAGTGGATAAACTATGTGAATAATGACATCCCTTTTGAAACTCTGAAAAGAGTTGTAGGCTCTATCTTTCACCCTTGTTTGCTGTTCAATGTTGACAGATTCCCTCTTTCCTCTGGTTATCATCTGGCTTTGTTCACCTGATACCAGACGCGTGGCAGCTATCAAAGGAAGACAATACCATCAATACAATGCTCAACGCTGGGATCTGCAGCACGTTTGACACCTGATTTATCTCAAGCACCCATTCAGATTAGTTAACTATCCAACAAAGAGCCCTGCGTTGGAGGAGAGGGTGTGGTCTGATACTCTGGGGAGTTTGAGGGGTTAACCTTGACATCTGGCCCCCGATCATCCAACAAGTACAGGCCAGCTGCCAAAATAGGTCTGCTTTTTTCCCTAAAAACACCTCATCCATCTGCTGAATTTCTCCTCATATAAGTTTCTCCATGATTGCCTGAGGCACTTCCATTCACAGACGCGTGCTGGGTGACACTGATCCCTGCTATGACGCCCATCCATATTTAAAGGGGAGCGCAGGTGACCTGTGGGTGGCCCTCTGTGGCACGCTTGGGCTCTCCAGCACCCACAGAATCTTACATAACATGCTTGTTGGATATTTCCTCAAATTACAGCAATATGATATAATGCACAAAGAACTAATGGGCTTTAATGTAGACGGCACTCAGATGACACGTGCCGTACAAAAGCTGGGACCTGTGAAATTCGATCAGTTCATGAATGTGTGAGGATGACAATGAGTATTCCAATTAGCTTATGAATACAACAGGTGACACCTACATAAAGCCCAATTACACACTTATTTGTGCTCTCCCAAAGCTGACTATAAGTTAACACAGAAGGATAAAAAATTAATCATGAGCAAGCTGCCAATTTGGTCTCCAGCTAGAATTATCTGGAATTTAACACTTAGATCTAGCCACAAGTAAAGCAAAAATGAACTGTTCTATCAGCACATGTGGTTCTGTATCTATTTCTGTCATGAGGCATTCAAAGATTTTAGGAATTGTGTTGCAAGTAATCTGTTTTTTCATGGTGTTGTGGTTACCACCGCTTTGCATCTTCCACCATCAGCTCTTTCGCGGTGCCGCAGTGTTCAGTAGCAGCTGCCGCTGGGTCGTTGTGAACCTCTTCAGGGACTTCTACAGAAGAGACGACAGGGGAGAGGTCATGTTTTAACCTGCTATGTGCCGGGAAGAAAAAGCCACCAACAAAAGCATCAGGCGGTAAACAACACAAGTGTCTCTTGTCCCAAATACTTCACACAGTCTTGTTGCACACATAGGCAAATTAGAGTGGACCTTTAACAAGTAATCTTTACTCAGTTGTCAAACGATGCCACTTCTCCCTTTACCGGGAAGGCATGGGAATTTCTCAAGAACAAAAAAGGAAGAGCTGCCTAGAGCAAGGGAGAAAACAAAAGCTTTGACACAAATCAGTACAATTTAAAACACTAATCATGGTTTAACTGCCAGCGAGATCGTAGTTAATTGAGAGTGGATTTAATTTATCCTTAAGAATGATAGGGACAGGAACAGATGAATAGCAACCCACTTTATGGATGATTATCAACACAATTTACACTGCAGTTTGATCAACCACATATGCTGCAAAATGTAAGATGCAGATAACATAATTAGAATGTTGTTGAAATTCAGATGTCAAGTATGTAAAGACACTTACACCACAATTACATTTGATTTTTTTATAGAAATGTTTGCCTTAAAAAACTATACAGAAGCAAATTTCATTTACAGAGTTTATTGAAAATGACATTGGATTTGAATTATAATGATGGTGACGATATCTAAAAGGAACAAGTCAAAACTGTAGTACATGGATGAATTTAAGAAATGCATCCCCAAATTCTTCTGAATTAGTGCTTGCGTTGGCACTTTATATAGTCATCATTAACAGCATCATACTGTTATTATATTACATACATTTTCCAAACCCCAACGCTTTTCCAGAACTACAATAATAAAAAAAAGCCATACATTCTTGTATCCACACATCCAGGTATGAAAGTCTTGCATATAGGCTATTATGTGAAAAAAAGAAAAGAAAATCATGTACCTTTTCCGATGAAAGCACTTTTTTTCATTCAGAGTTAATTACATTACAATAAGGTAGTGTGACGAGTTGATGAAAATTATCCCAATCTTGAGGAATCAATGAAAAAAACGTTTTACATAATCAAAACATTTGATTGACATGCAGAAATGACAAGAATCAGCCATTTACTTCCATTTTTTTTTTTACATTACAAGGCTTGTGGCTGACTACCTTGAGAAACACGCGAGTATCAAAATGTCATTTAAGGTCTCCACCATGTTGGGGCACTAAACTCAACTCACATTGTTTATTTGTGTTGGCACCTCTTGTGCACCAGCCTCCATACAATTGTGTAAACTCAATGCTAACTGGCGAGATCTTTTATAAACACAGTCATCATTTCCTTCAAAAACTGTGTGCCACATTACAAGCACCGTCAGGGGATTTAGCGGGAGCTTAAGTCTTAGTGTCTGGCAGCTGTATGTGGCCTATGGCAAGCAGCATCATATTATCAGTAGAAGACTTAAAAAGCTGCCAGAGGAGGATTGTGAGATCCGACTTGAGCTTTATGTCATCTTCATCAAAAGGTTCAATGCATGCTTCGTCAACATGGAAAAAATCCCCATATGTTTGCACTGTTTGTTTTCTTTGAATGGGGTGGACAACACTAACAAAACATACTTTTATGCATTTGCAAAATACTCTATATTAATGTGAATTACAACACAGGCCAAATTGTATAGGAAATGTTGCCTCCACGCTTTGCACATTGGAACATTGGCATTGATTGGATGACAAATATTATGCAAAAGAGCAGAGGAGGAAGTGCAATAATGATGCAGGGGTGGTTGTGTTTTTTTTGTTTTTTGCAATGCACCCCTTTACAATGTTGTGCTAGAAAATGATTTGAAAATGCTTTTCATTTAGATTAGCGATTTATTCTGACATCTTCCAAAGCACCAAATGATATTAAAGCATATAAAAGCAAATGTAGCAATCAATATGACAGGCAAAATGAATGAATTTGAACTACGCAACTCCTCATTTTTCATTTGAACTAAATAACCTCGGGGTCCGAATGTGTTAAACATTTATTTATTACGACCTTATCGTTTTTGTCATCGAGCAGCAGCGGTGCTTTGGGGCAAATAGTTGACCTGAGTGTAAATCACCTGTTTCATTCTCTGCTTTACACTATAATGCACCATATGTCATACACTAAATACAGAAGCAACAGAACATGTCTATAAAGCTGGAATATCCCAACTACTTTGCCAGTATCTGTTTCGCTCATATTAAAGATAGGTGGTAAATACTTTTCTTAAGTTTTACATTTTCATTCCTACCTTTGAATTTTTATTTGGCTTAACATGAATTCGACTGAATTTCAGACCTAAGTAAGCACATTTGCAAACATTTTACAGCACAGTGAAATGCGCAAAAAGTCAAAGTGAGGAGATATTACAAAGTGACTATACAGTATGTACAATGGAAGTATTGAGACTTTGTCAAAGGTCCATTTACAACTAGCAATACAGAGTAGTTAAAGCAGTTTAAACAATAAAAGCCTGTAACACGAGTTCACACTTCAGCACACGTAGGAAGGCAATCAGTGAGAAGCTTCTCCGTAATGTGAAACAGATTCTTATCCACATATTTTCTTAATTACTATCACATAATACTCATCATTTCGTGAAGTGATTCAAACATGTTTGGCAAAATATATGCAGATCAAATAACCCTCCTCCAATACGAAGGAATTTACCCAACATCTGTGTCACATCATCGCACAAAACAATCACTTCTTGTCCATAATGAAGATGTCTGAGTGACGTCAGAGTAATAGAAGGAAGGAGGGGGGGGGGGGGGGGGGGGGGGATCAGTGTGTGAAATGATCTCTTTGGATACACCAAATACTTTAAAGGCAAGCAAGGTTCTATGGCCTTGTAAGTGTTTTGTATATCATTATACATTTCAGAATCACGTATTTCAAAATCGAGCAGGATACATTCAGTAACAAGACGTTTTGGCTTCAAGTCCACGAAGAGATCGCATACCTTCACATGAAGTAACTCAGCAGCAGAAATAATTAGTACATGACAAACTGTTTTTCCAGTGGTTCATGAAAAAGTGTGTTTTGACATTCCATAGATACAGTGTAGCACTCAACTGTGATTTGGTATCATACAGTGTAAAGGTCAACAATTGTATAAGACTGAAAAGTAATTACAAAATAGCTAGAAACACCAGAAGGAAATACCAGCATAAGAACAAAGTCACCGGAAAAATAAGATTGATAAATCAACTGCTATAATACAATACGTGTTTAACACTGTACATGAAGCTGCTTCTCATCTAAAAGGAATACAAAACTTGAATGTAAACCTAAACATCAGGAAGTTATTCAACTATTGTTGAACATCTAGCTCGAACACAGGTAAAGGAGATACAAAGCATTCACCTTTAAGTAGTCATTTTAGTACCAGGAGTGCGCTCCAAAAGCAGCTAGGGGGTAACGAAACAACAATATCCATCGATTCAGTGACCAACAATGCAATATCTCTGGTGCAAGTGAAAACATTCATTAAGATACGCTTTTATTTTGAAATCCCTAAGGCAGGTTTATTTTTGGACCAATTTCCATCTAATCACCCTCCTACACATTTAAAGATTGTTTTTACATAAATGTCAAGTCATTTTTTTTTAGCTATCTTTTGTAAATGTAGTTTTGTTACAAGGGCATATTACATCACCTGGCATTGATCAATAGAAACAAATATTGCATTATTGGTGGAGAATCAACGTTAAACCATATTGTGGTGAAACGTGTCACACCCTTTAACGCTGCCCCTTATTTCACTCAGCGTTCGTTCGGTAAAAACGGACACATTCTCAGAGTTAAACATGGAAACAACATATGTTGTTGTGACATTAGCATCACAGATTGAAGCGACATATGAGATGACATCAAACTGTGAAATGAGGACATTTTGCTTCTGACACCAGCTGTCACACTGTGATCTGCAACCTGAATGACACTCATTGGCTGTTTACCTCGAACAGTTATGCACTGATCATAATTAGTACCGTGAAGTGGTGAAACACGTTCATATTACTGTATATTCATTTTAGAATTCGTGTTTAGAACACAGAGAAACTGACATGAGGCACAGTACATCGTTCATCTGTGACTAGGTAAACACATATGAAAGCCGATGTAAATACATATCAAACTGTATCAGTATGACACTTATGAATGATAATATTTGTTGGGACTTTTACCATCTGTTGAGTGTTAAACATTAGAAAGGGTGATGAGGGAGGGGGTACAGTAGCGTTTTGACCATTTTACAAATACATTGTTCATATGTAACCGAGCTATAACACATTTATAAATAAAGATTGTTCAGCATAAGTCCACATGTGCAGCTTGGTACCATAACACAATCTTCTCAAAATTGTAATAGAAGGAGATGGTTGATCTGTAGAGGCTGTAACAACATGACCAGTGAATCAAACAATATTAAAGACATGAGTTTGACTCAAAGCTTAGATTATAATGTAAACAACAACATTACCAGCAGAATGTAAAGCAAATTATTATTATTATTGCACTTAAAGTCAGTAAAATGATCACCTCCAGCAAATGACTGAGACACTAATAAACTTAATTGATAGTCATCACAAATAATAATAAAAAAGAATAGAAAGACAGTAACTGTACTGTATGTTTGTTCATTGGAAACCAGATTTCCAGATACTTTCCAGCAACTTCTTACAGTAACTCTCCTCCAGTCTTTCTAAGAATACACATCTGTAGAACAGAGGAGGCTCTAAAGCAAAGCTGATGCTTCCTCCTCTGAATGTGTATCGTAGTTTGAGACTCCAGTGTAAACACAGCAACTACAGCTTCATCTTCTCCACCCACTTGCCCGTGTTTCAGCAAACAGGAAACTTCAAAATACACCATCTGGTCAACTTGGATTTGGCTGCATTTGCACCTTAAGAGCTTTTGAGCCAATGACGGCAGCTGTATGTGCAACATGTGGGGAAGTGCATACCATATTGTCAAAAAAAAATTGATTTGATTGGACTTGAATCAATCATTGAATTTCTCTTATCCTGTACCTAACAATACACGGAAAAATAGGAATGCCAAAAGAAAAAGTACATAAAAGATACACCCATTGAATAAAATGTTCTTTAGGCAAGGACATAAACCATTGAGCAATTTGGCTTTGATCAATACCATTTGTTCTCACTTATTTTACCACATGAGTTCCTCCTTCATTAGTAACTGTTTGTCTTTCATTTCTTTTTACCAATTTTACCCGCCTTCTTTTTGGGCTCGTAGGGTGTCCGTAGAATGCTGGGCGTCTCCTCCATCACGCGCACGAGCAGGTTGTCGATGTAGTTCTCCAGCTCTCTGATGTGGGCGTCTTTCTTTTTCACCACCTCTTTCTGCTTGATGAGTTCCCGCACAACTTCCTCGAAGGACAGGTTGCTGTAGGCGGCCAGGCTTTCCGGTTTCACCTCCTGGAAATAAGAAAAAAGGACTTAGTTTGAGGCTCCATAATCACCATATTTGACATGGATCCTTTGTAAAAGTAGCCTGAATGATCTTCTATGAAATGTCAGCATCTGATAAACTGATCACAACGCGAATGAGAAAATAGACTAATTAGACGTGTTGGCCTAACGTGACATAGATTGTCATGTGTGTTTCTCTTGTTCTCTGCTGCTAATAAAGGCTAACACAGTTGTTAAGAAGAGAGTGCTGTCAGGAGATTTCGCGCACACATGTCAATAATGGCAGATGCTATGATCCAATACTGTGTTTGCAATGAGAATAAAGACATGTTTAACAGCTCTAATGGGACTTCACTTTGACACTAAAGCATTTAGCTAGAGAAAGTGGTTCTTCTTTAGTTTTAACTAGGGCTGGGCAATATGAAAAATCTAATATGACAGTATTTCTGACCAAATACCTCAATATCAATAATTGTGTGGGGAGTGTGTGGGAGAGAAACTACCAACTTTGGGATTTTAGCCTTTGAGGACCATTTACATGCACACAAACCTATACATCTAAATATAATACACTACAGGAAAGGGAAAGGGAAAGGGAAAGGGAAAGGGAAAGGGAAAGGGAAAGGGAACCCCCCCCCCCCCAAAAAAAGCATAATACGGCCTCTTTAAAACCAGTAAATGACAACACTTACAATTTTCAAAATCAAAGATAATATCTACTCTCATATCAAAATGATTATATAGTATCTATACATTGTACAACACATTTCAAAGCATGACCTCTCTGACTTAAGAGGCAAAAACTCTAAAATGCCTTTAAGAACTTAGCAGGTTTCCCAAAAAAACAGAATCTTTGTTTTGACGGGGGAAATGCCAGACTGCATATTTCTGCAATTAAAGGTCAGGCTGATAAATACCAAAATAAGGATGCAACCCAAGCCCAGCGTTGCTCTTTGAGGACAACCTGCTTGGACGGAGCCGTGTGGTACGGTATGTGCAGATCGTATTGCGCGGGTACGAGAGGAGCTGTAATCGTTTTTAATGAGGGACCACTTTATCGCTTCAGTGCTGGGCATCCTCCCCCGAACGGATAGAGCAGCAAAGCCTTCACCCTTGTTTAAAATACCACACTTATCAGCTTCCACTCCCATGCACCATTCAAGCCTCCACTAGCCGGGTAAAGACAATGCAGAAAGACCTGGAGCGGGACTGCTTACCAGGTATCTTATCGCTTCTAACAGCATGGAGGCTACTGTGGGGAGACGCGGACCAAAATGAAATATTTGCCACCGAGATTAAATGTCCGATGTAAGAAAGGGTTTAAGAACAGATCTCTGTAACCTATTCCTGGCACGCACACAATACAAAAAAGGTATTTCATCGAAAGATACTGCACTTGGAGAGGGAATACGAGAAGTGACAGCAATATGTTGTGTCGCATACAAGCATGTGTACGTGCATAGCTCTCTCTCACACACACACACACGCACACAGCATAATAACTAGGAGCTTCAGTGGCTGGTGACAAAGGCCTGGAAATGACCATGAATTGGCAAAGTGATGATGACCGTTTCCCTGCGATCAGTAGTGAGGAGAAGATAAGGCGCACACTTGGCATTCTCCAGTTGTGTCATTACAGTTTCTAATGAGCTCAGCTTTGAGAATCTAAAAGCTCAGTCCTTTGAAATCTCTCACTGCCTGCACCCCCCCCCCCCCTCCCCCTGTGTGTGGTTAATTAGGGCCTTGAAGCGGAGGAAATGGGAGCTGCCATTTCTGTGAGGCACTGCGGCATGCACAGGGGCACATGTGTGGATACCGACAGCCCTCAACACCCACAAAGAAAGGTGAGGAAAGCTATTATCAGCATTCTCCTTCTCATTTAGGCATCACTTCAGCCACTGCTCCTTCATTAATACTATTTGCTGTGTAATAGCTGGCAAATTTGACTTTTCTACTTCAAATTGGAGATACAAACTACAAAAAGGGTAAAACGCCATGTACAAAAAATGTAACAATCATTAAAAACAGAAAAACAAATGACATCTTTATGCTTTTTCCTGACTCCAATTACGGAATAACCCAGCACTATGACCGACCTCACAGAGGGAAATCTCACACCACTTCAAATTACGATCAGATCAGACACGATGACCGATGTGTGCAGCTGCTAATTAGTTGAATGGCACAGTCTGATTTTTTCAGAGGACTCAGAGATCAATGTGGCCATCTGCTTTGTCTAATAAAATATGACAAAAAACAATATCACGACAAGTCATGTCCGTCTTTCTTACCTTTTTCTTGCCGTATATGCCTTTCTTCTTATGGCCAAATGTGATGTCTTCATTTGACTTTTTATCACTGCAAAGCAATCAAAGACAATTCACATGAACACAGTAAAGTGACCGTCGTAGCCTATGAAGGATTAAAATATGTGATGTATTTGCTACAGAAGTTCACCTATCAATAATATACTTTAAAACAGCCTTTTGGTATTCCTGCACCGCATTACAGAAGGACCACTGAGCTACTGTACGACAAAGGCAGCAGTAAAGATGATGGACTAGTGCCTAAAGAGATAAGTGGTTAATTGGGTGGTCTATCTCTGCAGAGGATCTCATTACTATAGCTCAGAGGGCTCCGTTATCAAGCCCAGGCCCTCTAAAGAGCCACTAATGACACCTTCAGCTCTGATAAACCAGAACTCAGACACAGTGCCCACCAACTCTTTATGCAACACGGGGAGTAGAGGCAACGGGGCTCGGTGGAGAGGTTTGAACAACAATACTTGACAACAGAATGAAAGAGAGGGAGAGTAGGGGGGTTTCATCAGATGGGGAGATTTCAATCAACAAGGTATTCCAAACTTTAAGGGAATGTTGTAACCAATATCCTGTGGTTCAGTACTGGGTGTCCCACAGGGTAGCAAGGGCAAGTTTGGACATTGTGAGAGGATTGATGGAATATGATTTAAAAAAAACATGCAGTATATGCTCTTATAATCTACTGTCAGACGAGACAATACTTAAACATTTTGTTTTTGATTTAGAGCGCTTCACACTTTCAATGTGCTTCCATTAACTGCTTGTATTTGCCACTGATAGGCTCAGGATGTGTGTGACAACAATTTGGAGGGGATCTTTTGTTACTGTTGTTATTGTATCCAAACAAGTGTCGTTGTGAATACCTGCATAATGAAAATGTTGTCAAAATCAGCAATATAATCAGCCATGATATAGAAAATATTTTAGATAACTGTTAACTATGTTTTATGAACCCAAACACACACATGCTCTGTCAGCAGCGGCACCCCACCAGAGCTGTGGCCTGTGCTACAAAGTAGGATTTTCTGTTAGCACGTTTGTGATAGGCCATATGCTGCAAGCCACGCCCCTTTTATGTGAACACGCTCATAACCAGACTGAGGAACACTAGGTTGACATACTGCTTTTGTTAGGGTTAGTAAAGCCAGATAACACTCCGATATCCTGGGTATGTTGAACTGGCTTCAAGGTACAGGCCTCTGGTGAAGAGTAAAGAAAAACGTTTGATTTTCCATAGGGCCCTTCCATACCGTCTGAGCCCGTCAGGGGCCAAAACAAGCAGTTTGAGTGGACTTGTATTGACGGTGCACTTTGAGTGGAAGGATATTTCTGCAGTCCATTCTCCAGTGGCTGTCTACAGCCTTCTTACACAATACTGAAACAAGTGTGGTCACTATTAGTCACTTGGATATCAAGAAACCATGGGACGCTTGCCTCATAAATGTTTTTTGATGTGAGGCTACAAAAATATACATGAGCATTAATTATACCTTTGGTTAACCGAAAGGAGAGACATTTACCGAAGGTGCTGCCTTAGGACGAAGCATTCATTTAAAATTAGGCTCTTTAAACCCAAGAGGGATAAATAATAACTTGAAGGCATTTTTGTAGCATCTTCTAGATTATATATATATATATATATATATATATGTGTGTCCTCAAATAGCTGATGTATTTGAGAACTGAAAGTGTTTTTAAGGGTTGAGTTTAGATATACAGATTGACTTTGAAGTGTGTCGGGGTTAGTCATTATTATTGTTTTGTGAATAATGAATATAAAAGAGAAACAGAATATGTTCCTTTGTATTGAAAAAACATTATTCAAAGATATTTGTACCTTTCCCATCATCATGTCTTAATGGACATGTATCTAAATGTCTGTATTGATGCAGAGTAATAGATGTACTTTATAAACTTGGTGCTTTATAGGTGAAATGAATGATTCATTGACTGTTTATCAGGAACAGGAAGAATACCCCAGTCACTACCCTAATAAAGAAACATAGAAGACATTCTGTGAGATGAGTAAAGCCTGGTGCGCTGAATGAGAGTGAGCTGGTGTTTTAATTAGGATCAAATCATACAGAGCAAACGAAGACAGTATACCTGGTTTTGTAGTTGGAGATGAAGGGGTTAGTGTCTCCACTGAAGGGGTTGGGGGAGCACAGGTCTCCAGAGCTGCCCGATCGCCCCCCATAGTTGGTCTTGCGGCCTTCCTTCTTTCCAGTCACGCGTTCCAGTAGGCTGACCTTCTCCTTTTTCTCCTTCCGCTCCGGCCGGTCCCACAGCTGCCCGTGCTCCCCCTCAAATGGGTTGCGGTTGCGTGGGAGCGTGGCATACTTCTGTGGCAGGGTGTCACTGATATCAGTGAAAGGGTCACTGTGTGCCTCTCCGTCCTGGTAGCCTGGCACCTCGCTCTGGGAACGCCTGTGAGGGCCGCCTGCAAGACAAACCAAAGGGAGTACATCAACTGCATACTTCAAGATGCAGTTATCTGAACAATGTATCAATGCATATCACTAATCACAAAAAGGCCACATTTGTTACCGTTTTGTTTTAATATATGTGATATTTGTAACTTGAGATGATCACATGGCCAGAAGTCATTGTAATGTAACTGCCTCAGATTGCTGTGCAGTGGAGATCGGACTTTCCTGACGGAGCAGGTGGATTGAGTATTGCTTTCTTTGTTACCCTTTACCCTCATTTGGAGATTTAGAGATCAACAGTTATGTTTTTGGTCATTAATATCAGCCAATTCTGATTGTTGCCGGACACCTTTCAGCTTCCTCTGACAATAGTAAGAATTTAAGTGCATCGGCACAAACCATAATGTATCCTAAATCAGCAAATAGCATGATTGCATATCAATAACTGACCTAAAAATACATCACCAGATAAATATGTTTTGCGATAATCTTTTATTTCAGTCAGTCCTTATCCATCCTTTTGCTTTTGTCCTTACACAATGCAGGACATTCGTACATTTTCTATCATTATCATTACTATATTGTTTTGGGTAGTTTTGCGTTATCATTTTATAGCCCATTCCGTTTGATCTCTTTCTTTCTGTTGTTCAAATTGGGAGTATTCTTTGCATTGATTTACAGCTTCTGCAACTCAGGGAGAGAGGGGGCAAATGGGAGGCCAATTATACTGGTAAGAAACAGAGGTCAATTAAGGTCACAGATTGATAGGATTGACCTAAATAACGAGGCTAGTGAAGATTGTATACCTTGTTGTGTAAATATCTTTTTTTCTCCATAGCTCTATTGACCTCTACTGATGGCCACTACAAATTGCAACAGCATCCTATATTGACAATAAGTCAGTCACACAAGAAGAAGATATTTAATTAAGAACAGGTTGACAGCCAACGTCTTTTTATAAGGAATAGCAATGTGAAATAGTACCATTTTAGTGCTCTAAAATGACGCCTTTTATTCTACAGATATAGCAGGAATGTTTGAGATACAAGGTAGACTCTCTGATCATCAGTGACTCGGTTAATGAATGGGATGATTGTTATTTAAAAAAACAGTAACTCCTGCACGCATTTGCCAACCGCTAAAAAATGATTTATACAGGACATAATTCAACTGCCTTATAAACAAGGAATCTCGAAAGAAATAAGAGTTTTGTTCCTCACCACTTTCTTCTATGGAGTTCATGGAATCCAGTTTGGGTCGGAAGTGAGTCCCAATGAGATCGGACATGGAATGGGCTGCAGAGAGTTTGTGGGCCCCAGAGAGCAGCGGCCTCTTGACCTTAGCTTCAGGCTGGGGTTGTGGTTCTGGGGCGAGGGACTGGCGGTTTGGCTCTGCGTCGCTGGCAGCAGAGCGAGGCAGGATGGCAGAGGACGTATCACTGAAGCCGCTATCGTGTTTGCGACCTTTCATTTTGTCTTTAAGTTTGGAAAAAGGCGAGCGGGGCTTCTCCTTCATGGAGAGGTCGAACATGCTGGCAGTCATGTTGTTCCTCATGAACTGGATGCTCACTTGGATGCGGCCTCGTTCTTTCCTCTTCTTCCCCGGCTTAGACTCCAAGGAATACCAGCTAAAAAAAATGAAAGAGGGGACGCTTAGGCTGAGCAAATTCAATGAGACAATTTATATAAAAAGAGCAGGATTTATAAGAAAATCTTCTCAGTTGATTACATGTTATTCAACATAATTCAGTATGACAGGTATACAAAGTCAGAATGTGGTAAAAGTCTATCAAACAATGCGACAAAAGGAAAAAATAGCCCACATTCTCGCTAATGTGCTCTACCTACTTCTTTGTGGACATCACTGAAAAGGCTAATTTGAGCAGACTAATCCAACAGCGACACACAAAAGCAGGGGCTTAAATCGTTTGAACTTTTTCTGACACACACAGGAATACAATTTATCATTCAGAGGATAAACATTATTCCCTGCAAACTGAACATAGGAAATAGCCTGCTGCTGAATAATATAGACCATTTCAGGCTGCTTTTTGGGCTCCTATTTGTTTAACCTCTCCGCTTCTTCAACTGGAAGTAATGGGATTTATGCATTCATTCTTAGCGAAATAAAGTGGCATTTGCACAAATCTGGCCTTTGTTCAGAAATGCAACGACAAGCAATTGGGAAATTGCAAAGCCCCGGTGCAGGTCCAGCCAACAGTTCATACATGTTAATGAGACGTATCCTCTGTGTTATAGGGCTTGTGACAATGTCCTTTAAGACGCTGCAGTAGGAAAACCTCTACCAGTCATTGTGTTCTATTTGATGTGTTCATCTGGGAGATGATGAAGGTGTTTTCTAAACGGTGGTCACATTAATATGCTGTATACCTTTGCACTCATCCATCATGGTGCAGTTTGATCATTATAATAAATTGTTCTAATTTTAAAAATATCTTTTTGTGAAAAGTACTTGAATTTAATTGACATTTTACCTAAATGTAAGCAATTCTTTTTTTCTTTCTTTCATACAATTATTGATATTTCTTCGTGGATTAATATGGAGATTTGTGTGATCCCTTGAATTCCAGCATGAAATACCATTTATCAGTTCATCCAAAAAAGGTGTTGGTATTAGCTTTCTAAAACCTGCAGCTGTTCAACGCTATTCTGAAGCCGTCTAGCTCGTGGCTCGGGGAGCCGCTCATGAAAGGGCCTCGCTGGGTCCGATTCCCAGGCTGCGCGCCGCTCTCAGTCTGATCAGCAGCCACAGCATACGGCTGCCGTGGGGCCGGGGCTGCACCTCACGTGTGTCTCAAGGCCAAGATAAACCTCCCTGTGCTTGGAACCACAATCCTCCCACTCGGGCCTGGACCGCTGGGAAACTCCTCACAATCAACAAACACAGGTGTGCGATAATTATGGGCTGCCTACTCAGATATCAAGACGGGCTTTCCTCCCCTATATGTGGGTTCAAAAACATTGCGGATGGGCCGCGGTGAACACAGGCCCACTGTGGAGTGTGGATATAACATTGAGGGACCCGGCATCATTGTCAAGTATGCCTGCAGTGCAGTGTGGGATTGGGCCAACAAGCAATATGAGCGTATCCATTACAGAACCTCTGCTGAAAAAGTGCACGGCCTGGAGGTGCATCGGCTCAGGCACTTTAAACAAATAACAGCCATCCACGCTGATTATAACATATTGTGATTCTCCTGACTGATGGGCAGAGAGGAAGTGTGCTAATGTCTTTTTTGTGTTGAAATGTGCGGTGAGCTAATTAACACCAGATCCAATTTGGTTATTCTGTTCCTGTTTGCTTAATGTGAGGTTAAAATGTGTGCGTGTGTTGAACTAGTAGGGGTCAACACCCACAATTGTATCCTTATATAACACTGCCTTGACGAGCTATAATAGTAGGTGGGATTAGTTTACATTCATCATCCGCTGAAGCCTTTCTGGTAGTGTAACCAAGGGACAAACCTTAACCAAGCATGCATTATGCATAGGGAGGGTGAACAGCCTAGACAAGTTACCAGTTAATGAATAGGCTGACTCACTCGATATACACCCAGTATCAGCCACCAATATCAGCCCCATGCTTATAATCTACACCTGACATGTATTCTTTTTTGGCTAAATGAAAGCACCCAGAAAAAATAAAAAAAACAGAAGGAAAATGTGTGAGCTCTACACAGAACAGGACAAGATTCAAAACCATGTTATTTAGAAAAGGCTATTTTCTATTCACACCTTTTTAAACAATTGTTTGCATAGGAGTGACTTACAAGACATGTTTAGCCAGCTCCACTTGTTTCATTAGGCCAACTGCTACTCACCATCACGTCAGTGACTGGTGAGCTTAAAATAACCTCCCAACAATATGAGCCCATCATAGGAGCCAGTTCTTTGCTAAGCCTCAAACAATAAAGGGTCAACAAGATGGAAAACTTCAATGAACGGAGCACTAATGTTCTACTTCATCTGAGACAATTGTGTTAGATCGATTAGAAGGAACACTCTGGTGTCTCGGTTTACCTACTGGCAACACAAAAGATCTATTTGCTCTTTCAAATTAAAACACGCCTGTCTAATAAAATGTAATCGTCTAAAACAAGGGTATAAAAGAGAATATTAAATTCAATTGTATTTAAATCATGTGGTGTACAGGAGTTAGGTCATGAACTTAATTTAGAACCGAACACAGACTTTAACGCACAAAACATTGGTATTTTGTGTAGCTTAATATGGCAAAACACATGTAGAAATGTGGCAAATAAATTATATTTTTGTCTATGCTGTAATCCACTTATGACTGGAAACCTTCTGCAAATATTTTCCACTTCCTCTCAAAATCCCCCTCTATCACCAGCAGCACGACAATGCATGAGTATGAGCTGGAGTTACAAAGAACATAAATGCTTATGACATACAAATGGGCTTAAATGATTACATATGAAAAGTACTATATCAAATGTAAGATTGAAAGAAAACTAAATGTAGTGGCATCCAAATACCACAGGCACAACATTTGATTATTGTACAAACTAATGAAGAAGCTCATAAGCTTGGTAATCTAGTTTTTATCTGGATCAAGTATTCCTTTCTTCACCTAAGTACTATCAAATAATATTCTCTTTGAGAATATCTCTATGGCTATATGTAGCAGTGGGTGTACTATTGTCGGTTACTAGCTTTGCAATGACATGATAACAGAGATGTCAAATCAAGGAGACATTTTGCCAAAACATGTTGCTCTAAATAAAACACAATAAAATGATATGGTGAGAATTTTGCAGCACATAATAAGTCATCTTATTTTAGACTGATGATTTGCACATTTCAATGGGCGTATGCACTACCTGAAACTATTTAGCGTGAAATCCACTGAAAAAAGTAATCTAAGCATGTTAAAATGTACGGCTTGTTGTGAAACAATATGCCTTGAGGTGAGTTTATGATACTTACTCAGTTTTCTTCCGTTCCTTGTTATCGAAGATTTCATTGAGGCTGATGGACCTTTGACCCAGGAACTTGTCCATCCCAACCAAAGAGCGGTGCATCACGATAAAGCAGAGTTCATATACTTCTGGGTTCCCCTCCAAAAGTAACCCCGGTAACTCAAAGGAGGCTTCCTCTCTCCAGACGGGGTTAAGCGTCTTCTCTGCCACCGATGTCGAGTACTTTTCCTTGCCCAGCTGAATGATAGTGTAGGCATCGTTGGTGCCATTTTTGCCCTTGGCCTGTAAACTGGTTGATTGAAGAACAGTGGCTTGGACATGGGTTGGAAACCACTTTTGAGACTGCTCGGCCAGTGACATGGTTATCAACTGAAAGCCATTCAAAACTAATTAATTATAATGTATGTAGTTAGTGTTTTTTTGTGGATGTGATGTGCAAAATGCAACAAACATGTTTCACTATAGTTTGTTGTCCATGTCAGTGTGGTTTATGAGCCTACAGAAGCAATCATTTTGAGCAAGTCTGATAAATTGAGCAAGCCTCATCTTCTGTCAAATCACAGATGTCCAAGCCACTTGAGAGTCATCTGAAAAAGCACAAAAGGAAACAGAACACCATTCAGTTTCTTTCCCAGAACCATTACATGACTCATGTGGGTGTAGAGGCTACATTGATATTAAGCCAGATAATATTTCCTCCATCTTTGATAGCAGTCACTTGCACAAACATGTGATTTTAAAGTAAATACACAGAAAATCAAGACTGAAACAGAGGTACATGTATGCTATATGATGTTGTACACCTGCTATACACAGATCTCCCCGAGCTGGAGTATCAGGAAACTGGTGATCTCATGCAGTGACACATTTGGGTGCTGGTACATTGTCACTGACTCAGTGCCATGGTCGTTTCATATAGTACCTACACATTACTTGTATTTGGTTACAGGGATGAAAATAGGAAAACGTATTCATAGTTATGTCAAATGATTATGAGTGGTGTCAAAGTGATTTTGTCACTACCCATGAGCAACTCTAGGTTTTATCTTAAGGTGACTCATCTCTAAAGGGTCTGTTCTTCAACTTGAAAGTGTGTTTCATTCATAAATCTGACGTTGCAAGACATCTCAGCTGTATGTTACTGAACTGACAGAGCCACGTGAAACCTATTAGTCCTGGATGTACCTTTAACTGAGCATCTTTCCAGAGATTCGTCCACGAACGGAGCTAGTATTTAACTCATTTCCAATATATAGTTAAACATTGAAGCAAATGTAAACACTAAATTGCAATACTAAATGATATGGTTAAAATGGAGCTTTGTTATAGTTGTTACATTCTGCAGAACAGCGTTAGATAGATGCAGCTAGCTAGCTTCAGAGCTAGCAGGCACACAGAGCATCACACACAGCTGCTTACCTCGGTGTCATGTTGTACCGACACTTGAAGGACATTCAGCACCTCAGCTCAGCAGAGACAGACTTCATCACAAATACATTCATGTAATGGTCCCTTAGGAAATTGGCCGCTAAAGTTAGTTGCTGCTGCTGCTGCTGCTGTTGATATTCACTTCTGTCGGCCAGCGGCGAGCTTTACTTCCTAGTCTGACGTCACTTCCTCATCATCCCGGTGGAAGTTCAAGCAACATATCAAAAATAAAAGGTGGTCGCACTAATAACTGCAGTTACAAAGGTTCTAAAATTAAGACTAAAAAACATTTCTTATAAAGTTAAATTCTGTGCAAAACATTTTTAATAAATAAAAACACTAAAAAGGAAGACCAATTGATGCATTCAGCTGTTGAGTTGTGGCTTTCCTGCACAGGTAAGCAGTAATGAGAGGCTATATGCTGTAAATAAATGTAGCTAACACTCTCTCCCCTGTAATATATGGTTATGTATGTGCGTGTGAGTCTGCCTGTGCTCGGGGGGTGCACTTTACTTGAGAGGTAAATCATACAAACATGGGAAGTGCTTTTGTCTCATGAGTGGGACATGGAGGTGCAGATAAGGGGTTCACTTGAATGAACACAGACATGCTTGTCACCCCTCTTGACAAGTGCATCTTAACCAAACACACCTGCCTGTGTTGGTTTTATCGTTCTGCCACAACCAGTGCAGTATGTACACACCACTGGCCTGAGGCTCCGGCTGGGCCATCCATCAAACTGAGATTATTGCACTTATCTAGAGTACATCTCTGAATGAAATGCTAAGGCTTAGTGAAATATTAGGCTGTACAAAAATGTGAGTCAGATAGCATTTAATACATTTGAGGATATCGGCCTCATGTTTTGAATTAACCGTTAGGTGTAAACATTGTGTGAATAATGAGTACAATGTCACTTTGTAACTGTATAAAGGATGTGACAACATTTAGGATTTAGGTATCACACTTTAAAAAGGGCTTTTTGTACCATAGCTCTTATTAAAGGAATTACATTTTTAACCAGAAGATACTTCTATTATTTAAACAAAAGCAATAGTTATTATATATGAACAACTAAATACATGGCAATAAAACCATTCTTACCATCCAGTTTTCCCCTTTTATATCCTGCGATGGTTTTGCCCCAATTTACCAAATGACATTATTGTAAGTGTCTTGTGCCTCATTATATACAAATGTCCTTCAAATGTAGTCCATCATATTTTATAGAAGGATTTAAAGTTGGCAATTTGATGAAACAAGATGTAAGATGCCTCAAATTCTACTAAAATAAACATGTCAAGTTGTCCCCAAAAAGTTGGCCTTTTTTTCCATAAACAGTTTCTTAATCATTTTTCGGAAAACTCCCTATACTGTACATCTAAGTTTAGACACTAGAAAAAGGAGATTCATTTGTTGTAAATTACCCCCTCATACACACATTTTTAAAACAATGCATCGTGGGTTTGCACAAAGTTTAGTAGCACTGCATGAGTTTATAACAATAACAAAAAATGTACGTTTTGGCTCTTGTTCTCGAGTGATTAATGGCTTATAGGGACACATTTGAAGATTGTGACAAGAGTTTGTTTACAAGTGAAGGCAAGATCTGATTAGCCTTTCCAGTCTATAAATGGAGTATGCTTAAACAGCTCCGTATGTTTCTGAGTTATCCAGTCCCATCTCTGATCCACTACTCACATTCAGGCACATTTTATGATCGGTTATGGTTAGCCTTTTCGGCTTGAACTGAATAAAATAACGACCAGAGGAATGTTTATACACCATCGGGGTCATGAAACGCTTCCTTAATTTGACAATAAGTCAAACACTTTCATATATTACCCCGTATAGGAACATAATACCACTGTACTGGTGCTTTGTGAGATAAGACATGAAAGACACGGCGTTCCAACATCACTTGAATCTTTTTATTACCCTCCTCTATGGAGAATACATTGGTCGTATAAAAACAAAACATCACGCTGTAAATTAAAGTAACCTGGTCCACTTTCTGAGGGAATAACGCTGAGGGTCATAAACTGTCCGACATGTAAGTGAACCTGCATGCATGGCGGGGTCCACATGTTGAACCATATTAGCTGTGGCCCCTAACGGCTGGGCCTCCATCCATCCCATGCACATGGTTCTGGTTTAGATCCCTTTCTTCAACACTAGATAGGTTGTATTACATTTATTAAACACTTTAAAAAATCTCTGGCTGCAAGATTGTCCATCTGTTGAGGACAAGAGAAAATATATGAAAGAGGCATGAGGCGGAGAGGGGAAACAGTTGTGATGTCAGTGCCGGTCTTAATGTGGTGCAGGTCTGAGCTCTGGACGGATGACTGATTTAAAAGGTATAGCTTTTAGCCGAGTGAACAGTTAGATCACAGGTGAATTTTAATAAAAAAAGAAGGAGAAAGGCACACAAATCACCTCTGCTTTGCTCTCAGGAATGTTTTTGTGCACGGCTTTGATATATAGGTGCAGATGTGCGACTGCGGCGTGACGAGCAGAGCTTAAAAGGCCTGCTAAGCTGGGGCAACATGTCAGGCCGGTTACTCCCTTAAGGCCTTGATTCCTACCTTGTAACCTCAAAAAAAGTAACTGAAACTAACACCAAGTAATAACGGCAACATCCATAATTCACTGTTCAATGAGCTTTATTTACGATTGTCTAGAGAAGCAACAGTGAAATCTAAAGGTCCTATTGATAATATTCGGTGGGGTTTCTCGCCAGATTCAAAACCTTATCAATAAAACAAAACAAAATCCCATTAATTCTGAATCTAAGCATCCAATTAGCACGGGTTTGTTTGTGCAGGAGGTGTTCCCCTTTTGCATGTCAATCATACTATGTGCACAGCTCTCTACTCTGCAGATAACACAAGGTCGCTTCTTCTATGGTTTACCATATCTGACCGGCAAAGCTGTGCAAAATATTAGCCCAGCTGGACGAGTCAAGATTCAAGATATGTTATTGTCCTTGTCATAAAGTGATGGGGGATGAGACTATGGTCAGGTCTACTACAAACATGATTGCCCTTTTTCGTGGGGAAAATGTAGTCACCTCAAGTGATTGAATCAGAGATATTCATGTAAAACAGTGAGGCTAAAAAAGAGCTTGAGATCAGGTGCTGCAACAGCTTTGACCAGCTATGTCATGGACTGTCATGGTGAAGACATGACATCTACGTTCACACCCTCACAGATGGCATTGAGCTCTGGATAGTAACTGATAGGCGATCACAGAGAAGCAGCTGAGTTGAGCTTGGTTCCAACAGCTCTCTCTCAAGGGCGAGGGAACTCTGATAGAACCCCTGCTCCTTCACGATGAATCGTATTGCATTATCGTTCAGGTATCTGATCAAATGCCTCGTGGACACCTCCCTGTTGGACATGCCTGACATGTCTTTACAGGGAGGGGTCCATGAGGCCTCAGAACATTTCAAATCAACACCCTAAAACAACATTTGAAATAGTATATATATAAGATCGTTTTAGAATTGTGCACTGTATACAATTGTCCAGCCAACACTTTAAGACATTACATATCTAAATAATGACCAGACTTAAATGTACTTTCATAAAAAATACTACATTTAAAAAAAAAAAGAACGTTGTCTTTCTGTTTGCAGTTTGACAAATAAAATGTACATACATTCATCCATTCAACTCCTCAGAAACAGATGACATTGTTTAAAAGGGTAGAGCCTAAACAATCATTTCAGCGACTTTTATATTCTATAAACGCAAGAAAACAGATACAGATATAAGCCTGTGCAGTAGGCCTCTGTGAAATGCATTCCTATGCACAGTTTAATGTCAGCAGCACACTCGGGGGTCATGTTTTGCGGGGCAGGAGAACAGGTGTCGGCCCGGCAACAGTACGAACACACTCTTCCAGGCCAGAGGAAGCACCCACACGTGTATGCCCCGCAGTCAGCCCCGTACAGGATGAAATAATTCATCAGAACTGTTCAGAAGAGACGTTGTGAGGCAAAGTTCAGAGGCATGCTAATGACAAGAGCATGTTCACAGGGAAAAGGAAAAACTGTCAGCTCTGAATGAATTGGGAACGGCAGAACAGAGGTTAGGCCATTTCAAACTCCTTATATCTCTGTATAATCTGTGTAGAGGGCTTGCAAATGCCTGACAGAAATTGGTGGTTTTGTAGCACATGGCTCATGCATTATTTTATGCTCTCTTGACTTGTATGGATTTCCTGAGTCCAGTTCTTTACAGCACAGCTTATTGGATATTCCAAGATGAAAAATGTTGGATAAAGAATGTTGCTTTCTTTCAAACCCCTGTCAATGCTTTTTGATACAGTACATATTTATATTCAACATATGGACTACTTTTTTCTAAAACCCTGCTGCTGAAGACAGATTTTTTCAATGTTAAGTAAAAAAAAGCAACTGCATTTTTAAGTGGAATGATTTAAAATAATTTGTAAGTAATGAATGTACAACACGCTCTAAATGACTCCCTCGAGATTAACATTTTTTTATGGAATGTATGGTTTCCAGGCATTTGCATAGCCAATAGGATATATGTGTATGTATGTGTCTTAACTTAACAAGCAGTGAGACATTTAAATGTAAAACAAATACTGCATTCGGAGAGAGTGCGCATTAAATAAACATACAAATATAAAGTAGTATTACCTTAGCCCTACAGAAAAAAGGAGTGGGTGCATCATTACGTTCAGCAGTCTTCAAAGCTCGAAGCAGAATCAGCTTATTACCAGTTTCTACAAGGATAAACATCCCACACAGCCACTCAGTCTGCACAGTTTTATTGCAATTTGCCTATATTAAGTATCAAATTAACATTTTCTTCTAAAAAAACATGTATATACAACACAATTTGGCAGAGTCAGACTTGCGTTTATTTGAGATGAAACTTTAATGATTCCTGAAGAGACACTGGTCCTGAAAACTGGAACAGAAGAAGTAATGACAATTGGGATAACATAGTATTTATCAAGGTTCAAGGTTCTTTATTTGTATAAATGTATAAATGGTCTGCATATTTTGTCCAATTACTTACATTTAATATTCCATCATGTTGTCTTATTGTCATTGCAATTGCACAATAAATTAAACAGATATAGTAGTTTATGTCAAATAGGACATGATTGATTATTAGACA